CCAGCGACCTGGCCCCTGAAAAGGAGACCAAGATTCTGTCAACCGCCAAGCCCTGTAATCAGCAGCAGAACGAACGAGCAAATCTCAAGCTTTCAACGTAGGGGGTTGCGGCCAGTCTGACTAAAAAGTACAGTTCCCTCTTTAGGCTAAGCCTCCTTTACGCACACGGGAGCATTTACGCTTTTATCAGTTTTGCTCCAGACACAGAATATGCGGCAATGCATGTATGTACTACTACACCATGTACAAGCAGACGCAGCAGCAAAAGCAGCTTCCGCAGTCGCTATACGGTGCAGCACTGTGTGGAGATGCGAGATCGGTGACTCCTGCGGTGACTGCCGAGGTTCTTTACTGCATCTGTTCTGAGCCCACAAGATAGGAGGCGATGTGTGGATGTAGCGAACGCCGCAACACGAGAGACAGACCCACCTTTGAGAGACGCAGTTTAAACTCAACGTCGAAGTAGAAGCAAGAGGTGAAAATTCGCCTCATTTCAGCAGCCACCCATTCCTTGTCTCTGCAGAGGGAACAGAGGGGGGCAGCAGCACATATACCCTGAGCACTTCTCTATCCTAGGCCACGGATGTGCAGCATATCTCGAAGTCTGAGTAATGCCCGGGAACTGGCTTCCAGTGCATGCTTCTCCCAGCTGTTACCTTGAGCCACAGAATTCTGGCACAAAGCGGATGTCTCCTCCCGTTTGCTGTGCAGGAAAACCTAGGGACTGGAGCTCCAGCGTTACGTTGGGTGGGGGGCACGCGTAGACATCTACGCATGTACACGCTGCAAAGCATTGTGTTACAATGGAGTTGTAGAAGTCTTGCTGAAAACAAACCGAAAAAGTGCATATAAACCACGTTCCGTCGTTGACTAAACCTCGTCCAGCCCCAACACTGTATTCACTGTCTTGACCGGTGCTTTTCCCCCTGCGCTTTGTGTTAAGTATCTCCGCTGGCACCAAGGGCCCGCATCGCCTCCCTCACACTTTCTGTTCTGGCTTACTTGGTGGATCTCGGTGGATTTTGCTGGCCCTTCTGATGCCTTAGCGGATTGCTTCAGCGCTCCGACACCTACGAAAAGTAAATACACACTAATGGGGCAGGTTGAAAGCCGGAACGCCCGACTAGTGCCAGTATCCTCAACACTAAAGCTTTAACCCCGGCTCATACTTCTTGGAAAAAGGCCTCACCGACGTCTGGCAAGACACAGTAAAACATTTCCACCATTCCTCCCGCGGATCTCTCG